TTGACAGGGATGGCCCACTGGCTTAATGCAATGTTCCACACCTTCAGTTGCTAAACCAGATTTTTATTATTTTTTCACCTGGAGTACGCAGGGAAATCCAACAGAAATAAATGCTTTTTAAACATTATTTTTCTTAACCGCCCCCCCAAAAAAGTCATATTCCAGTTGGTTTCTTAGAAATGGTTGGTTTCTTAGAAATATAAAGGGGAGGGAGGTGTCCAGAGGGGATCCAGATCACACAGTTATAGCACTTCGATACCACTTGGACCACCTGCGCAATCCTGGGATTTGTAGTTTTGGAGGGATGGACTCAGAATCCTCCGCTTGAGAGCTCTAGTGCAACAGTCCTTTCCACAAACTACAGATTCCACAAGCCCAATCCACCACCGCAGCAGTTAAAGTGGTACAGAAGTGGTATAATTGCACAGTCCGGATTCCCTCCAGGTGAGACGCATGGTGTTCGGAGAGAGAGGTGGATTTTAGCCCGAAGAGAGTTATAGTTTTCGGTGGAGGAGGACTCCCTTCTTCCGAGGCCATCATGGAGAGACAGCGCAGCTGGATCCTTGCAAGCACCATGGGTGCTATTGTCCTGGTGGAGAATGTCTGCCCCGCAGGGACGTCGTCGCAGGCAGCGGGAGACCTGCAAGAAAGGGAAAACAGGGGGAGGTGGATGATGGGCATGATGGTTATTTATTTATACCCACTTTCCCACCCCAAAGCTTAGAATCAAGGCCACTTACCAATTTTAGAAAACAGAATAATAATAATAATTAATAATAATAATAATAATAATAATAATAATAATAATAATAATAATAATAATAATAATAATAATGTCACTCCATTATTATTGTTGTTGTTGTTGTTGTCTGCCTTCAAGTCTCTCCTTTCCAACTTATGGCAACCCTAAAGCAACCCTATCATGGGGTTTTCTTGGCAAGATTTGTTCAGAGGAGGTTTGCTGTTTACTTTCCTTCTGAGGCTGAGAGCCTGTGACTTGTCCAAGGTCACCCAGTGGGTTTAATGGCTAAACTGGGAAGCGAAACTTGGTCTCCAGAGTTGTAGTCCAACATTAAAACGAGTACGTCACACTGGAATAATAATAATAATAATAATAATAATAATAATAATAATAATAATAATAATAATAATAATAATAATAATATTGCAGGCAGGAAACTTGCAAGAAAGGGAAAACAGTGGAAAGTGGAAGATAAAGATGATGGGGATGATGGTTATTTATACCTTTTCCTAATTTTCCTTCCTTTCCCCCAAAGCTTGGACTCAAGGTTGTTTACAAATAATAATAATTATTATTATACAACAGTTAGAAACTAT